GTTGGTTTTTCTGAGACACGTGGTTAGCGGTCCTAACAATTATGGAGATGGTGCGTTTGCTGTTGGTGGAGGTGGCGATGATGTTGTTGCGATTCCTGAATCTTCAAGTTATGAAGATGGTGCGTTTGCTATTGCTGAAGAAGCTACCATTGGGCCTCTAGATGCCTCATCCAATACTGCACTTTCTATCGATTTAAGTGATTGTGCTAATTAATGCTTCCACTAGCACAAGAAAGAATTTTCAACAAACGTTTTTGGGCGGTGGCTGGAAATGTTTACCTGGCTGGAAAGTAGGAGTGGCAAAAGCTTTTGTAAGTTTTGTAAAAATTTTAATCGAACAATATTACTAATTTAGAAAGACACGGTAAAGGGGAAGGCCATACAAAGTGTGAAGCTGCACTTAAAAATCAGCCAAAGCTAGATAATATTAAGCAATTAACGGCATATCAGACAAAAATTAATAATATTAAAACAGCCGAATTAAAAATAATAATTTTTTTGTGTCAACATAATTAACCTTCTCCAATGGTTCAACCATTAATTGAGCTTATTAAAAATGTAGGTAGGGAGTTCCATAGTTTTTTTACAACACTGACAAAAAACATTCTANAGACGCAGCCGCGGTCAACATTTAAATGAAATTATCTTCAAAAAGTAAATGTCATGGACCAATCTAACGTTTCAAATAAAGAACCGATGAGATTTTGCAAACTTTATGCGTTATCAAGCTCTTAAAAAATCACCCGTTAGAAGAAACAAGATAATTATGTTTTGGTAAAATCAGATTACAAGTTCTAGTTGCTTGTGCAAATGTTAATTTTTCAAAAAGGTATTTGGGGTTTTTCAAATTGATGAGCTTATGCAAAAATTTAAGGTTGCGGTAATTCAAAAAACCAGTCAGATTACAATTAAGTATCTTACAACTAAAATGTGATATGTGGTCGAACTTACGCTTAGCAAATACGTATCTGGCACAACTATTTAACGCCATTTGAAGTTTTCGCTCCGATGCACTATCCAGTTGTCCACAGATGAGCTCACCATATGAAATAAGTGGCACTATAAGTGCTCTCACCAAACGTAATTTTATGTCCTGAGTAACAAATTCAGCTGTGTACCATAGTTTTCTCAGAACAAAATAAATCCTACTTATGGTGTGGTTTATATGATCCGAACACCCCAAATAGGAATTTATTTTGAAATCAAGACTAGTAACAACTGGTCCAAAAATGATTGGTGTGTCCTCTAGAGTTAATGTTGGGAGAAGATCTTCAGTATTCGAACAGTGTGAAATACATATGGCTTTGGTTTTCGTTGCATTTAAGCGTAAATTATTAAACGTGGCCCAGATGGAAATAGAAAGGAGATCTTCATTTATTCTGACTATTAAGTCCTCAGAGAGACCAATTGGACGAGAAAGGTAAATTTGAGCATCATCCGCATACAAGTGTATGGACACGCTTTTACAGCAGTGAACGATATCATTAATGAACATGCTGAACAAAATTGGGCCTAGTATGGATCCTTGTGGTACCCCCGAGTGCAGTCCTCTTAGCTCAGAACACACATTTTTTACAACAGCCTTTTGCCTACGATTACCAAGGTAGTTTTCGAGTTATTTTACCGCACTATCAGAAAATCCAAAATATATGTTTAGTTTAAGTAAGATATTTTCTATGATCAACTTTGTCAAAAGCCTTGGAAATGTCTAATAGGGTTAAAACAGTTAAATCACTCATCAAACATAGGTCTAATATCTTCCATTACCTTTAGCATAGCTGTAGCACAGCTGTGACCCTTTCTGTAACCAGACTGTTTCGGCGTAAGAAGTTTATTTCTATCAAGATGCATAACTATTTGCATGACCATCAGCCTTTCCAAGGGTTTAGACAGCGAAGAAAGTATACTTATCGGGCGGAAATCCGATGGAAAAACACCCGAATGACTTTTAGGAATTGGAGTAACCTTGGCTATCTTCCAGGCATCCGGAAATGTCGATGAGGTAACGGAGAAGTTCAAAATGTGTGTCAGTGCAGGAAGTTCGTTTGGGAGAATAATTTTTAAAAACTTTAAGCTTACACTGTCCTCACCAATAGCATTCGATTTTATTGAGAAAATACCTTTTAAAACGTCATACTCAGTCACAGTCGAGAAACTGAAAGGTTTATTTGTTTTAAATAAAAGGTTTTGGTCTAGTTTGAACCCATTGCTATTTTGCAAAGTGTTCGACTGTAAGAAATAGTCATTCATGGTATTAACATCTAAATTACATTCAAAGTCACCTTTACTTCCTATGCCCACAGACTTTAGGTTATTCCACAGTATTTTGCTTGGTAAGTCTGCATTTAGTTTGGTTCGATAGTGCTGCCTTTTCGAATTTTTCGTAGTAAGATTAACGCGATTTCGGGCTTTGCGATATGCTTCCCAGTTTTCACAAGTTGGTTTGCGTTTCCAACGAACGTAAAGCTTATTTCCGGTCCTAATAGTTAGTAGAACCTCTCTTATGAACCATGGTTGTTTTCTGTCAGAAGTTTTCACGACTCTTAAAGGAATATATTTATCAAAAAGATAATTTACCGTGGAGGTAAAAAAGTTTAGATTTTGGTTAATGTCAGGAAAAACCCAGCCCGTATTCCATTCAAGCATACCGGCCTCTTGCTTTAATGCTCTAATATCGGCTGATTTGAAATACCTGTAATAAAAACGCAGATCAGTATCGTTATTGAACTGAAGGTTATAAGATGCAAAAATCATATCATGATCAGATATTCCCGCAAGCGTAAACTGATCACAGTGAACTAGATTAGAACTATCAGATACACAGAGTAAGTCCAGTAGACTTGCCTTACAGTTATGAGAAAAGCGTGTGGGAAATTTATTAATAACTTTTAAGCCAACAGAAGCTAGTCTATCTACTAAAACGTTGGAACTACAGTCGCTATTCAGAAGATCTATATTGAAGTCGCTCATATTTTAACGCTAACTCAGCTACTTCTTTAAAAAGACCAGTAAGATCAAATCTCTTACTAGGNAATCAGATACACAGGGTAAGTCCAGTAGACTTGCCTTACAGTTATGAGAAAAGCGTGTGGGAAATTTATTAATAACTTGTAAACCAACAGAAGCTAGCCAATCTACTAAATCGTTGGAACTGCTGTCGCTATTCAGAAGATCTATATTGAAGTCGCCACAAAGCAGAATGTGCTTTCGTTGCATAGAATTGCATATATGCAATGCAAACTTTTTATAGGTTTGGCAACCACGTCTCTCTTTAATTTACAGTTATTTTTTCTTAACCCTTTCCCTGCATTTGTACAATATATTGTACATTTAATTTTTTGTAACATTGGAAGCGTGCTACTAAAAATCTTATCAATATTTTTGAAAACAATTTAAACTTTATGAAGTTGTGGAATGTCCCGAATAGTTTACGTAAATTTCAAAATCGAAAACGTTTCAAAAATATTTTTAGCATTTAATTTAAAAATAGACCATTTTATGAAATTCCAGTGGCACGCAATTTGTGGTAATTTATTTTACAAAAAATACGTGAAAGTCAAGTAAAATCGCTAATAAAAGCACATAGTATGGAAATATAAGAAGCATTTCATCATATAAAAATGCTAAAATTAAACTATCATGATTTAAAATATTTTTTTCCGAGTGGTGAAAAAAATGTACAATATATTGTACATTTACACTGAAAGGTTGTAAGTGTTATGTTCAATATATTGTACAAACGTCCGCAATGGTTGCGGATGAACAGGCGATTCGGGTGGTTTTTGCCGTGGTTTGTGAAGAGCTTGTGCGCTTTTGTTGCAGTAAAGGGTAGGATTTTGATTTCTTGATCTACTGAAGGCAGAAAAACCGGGATGGTTTATTAATACGGGTCATTTGTCTTTTATATTGTAATTGTATCTGAAATTTTTCAAAATTTCTTTATATAATTCTCTTCTCATGGAGAAAATTTAAAATATTTTAATGCAAATCTTAACTAAAGATACTTAAAAAGATACTAAATATTCATTCCAACATATCTGCAGTGAAATCAATTATTTTGTACATACATAAGGTCATTCTCAATGAAATAAAAGTTTTATTCTGTAAAACTTAGTGAAATATCTATTGACTTTTCTTGAGTACTTTTACTCCTTTGAGGACTTTTGTACGATATATTGCACAAATTTCAGGTAGCCCTAATAGCTACCCAGTATTTATTTTTTTTACTTTTGGTATTATGAGGCTCTATGAACCTTGTAATTAAGNCTAAATATTCATTCCAACATATCTGCAGTGAAATCAATTATTTTGTACATACATAAGGTCATTCTCAATGAAATAAAAGTTTTATTCTGTAAAACTTAGTGAAATATCTATTGACTTTTCTTGAGTACTTTTACTCCTTTGAGGACTTTTGTACGATATATTGCACAAATTTCAGGTAGCCCTAATAGCTACCCAGTATTTATTTTTTTTACTTTTGGTATTATGAGGCTCTATGAACCTTGTAATTAAGAGGAAAAATTGTTATATTCATCAGGGACGGATTTGACCGGAAAGGGTTAAGGCGACTCTTTGAGGCTTTGTCATTTAATATTTGCCAATAGTTTGTGAAAATTCATCAACACGTGTACATATACGCCGGAAATGTTAGGCAAATTTTAAGAGTGCGAATTTGTTTTAGTTATTTGTGTAAATTTTGTAAAGTTCTGTGAAATAACAATACAATGTGAGTACTTTTTAGAAAGTGTAGTGTATTTTCTTTGTAAGTCACATATCTTCCTGATAAAGCAAGCATTTATATAAGAGTACCAATGTATCATATCATACATGCAAAGTCATGCGTTTACGCTGATTACATATACGTTATTATATTGTACATCTGCAACATTATGCATTATTTTTACCCTTAGGGCCCTTACGGATAATAAGATTGCACGTATAATAGAAAGTTGGGACCAAAATGAAGATAAGTTTCTTGAAGAGGATGATGACACAAATTTTGAAATCAATATATGCCGGTGCGAAAATAATGAAGAATTGACAGCGGAAGAAAGTTCTTGTGTGGCAGAAAACACTTTTGCAGAGAAAAATGCTAATACGAATACTCCAATTTGTACGCTTGTCAAAGAAATCCTGAAAAAGCGGAGCAGATTGATAAAGAGGATTTGTGAAAGTTTTTGGGAATATGCGTCAATATGTCTGTAGTTCAGATCCCAAACATTCGTAGATATTGGACACCCATTGCAGCAAACAAATTGATTCAAGAAACTATGTCTGTTAACAGATTTGAAAAAAATTAATTCAATATTGCATTTTAACAATAATGATGATATGAAACCAAAAGATGATCCACATTTTGACAGACTTTTTAAGCTTCGTCCAATTGTAAATCATTTGGTTAAAAAATTCAAATCAGTTCCACTTGAAAGCTGTCTCTCTGTAGTTGAACAACTATGTTCCACCAAATGCAAATCATATTTGAAACAGTGGGGAACAGAATTCCAAATTTGAGGCTTCCCGATGAAAAAGCTATGATAAAGAAATCACGAGGAGAGTCCTGCGAATTTGTTGCAACCGTGGAAAATTTTGATATATCTGTGGTTTCTTGGAGAGACAACAAAATTGTAAATTTGATGTCAAACTATTGTGGGAAGGCTCCTGAAAAGCAGTTGAAAGATTCGACAAAAAGTTGAACAGAAAAGTATCCGTTGCTTGTCGAAACATAGTTGCAGAGTATAATAAGTTTATGGGAGACGCAGATTTATTAGACTCATTTATTGGTCGATATATAATCAAAATACGGTGTAAAAAATGGTACTTGAGGCTCTTCATTCACTTGCTAGATACAGCCATTGTAAATTCTTGGTTATTATATAAGCGCGCTGAAGCCCAGAAAGGTAACCCCATAAAAGAAAATTCGGCAGATTTTCGCTTAAAAGTAGGAGAAACCCTGTGCAAAATGGGAGAAGTTTCGACACCAAGCGGTAGACTTTCGGAACTTATGAGAAATCTGGCTCTTAAGGTAGTGCATTTTTGAAGTCTCATATATAATTTTGAAACAAACGAATTTATTTATTTATGCAGAGAAATCACCAGCGAAGTTTACCTATTCCTGAAAATAAAGTGCGTTTGGACCATACGGATCATTGGCCAAAGTGGGTAGACAATCGCGTAACTCCCAAAATACCAGGTTGCCGAGGATATACCTTTGTAAAGTGCGAAAAATGTAACACAAGTGTTTGCTTTAACAAACCAAGAAATTGTTATAAAAAATTTCGTTTCGAATAAATATGAGAACGTTTTTTTTAAATTAAATCTTATGTTATCGCTACAAATTAATGTGATGTAATTAAAAAGAACAAATTATGTAAATGGATCACTACGTTGTTTTAAAAAAATTTTACCCAATAAAATACGAGTTAGTAAAAATTTAGCAAGGCATATTTAACTTTCAAATTAACTGCATGATATTGCGTATATGCAATGTAAGGTAACTTCGTCCCGGGACGCAGGAGGTTCATTAAATTTGGTTCTTATCATCATAGCTCGGCCTACATCAACTATATAATACGAAAAAATGTCTATCTTTAAAATAATTAAATCATGCAACGAAGGGTTAAATATAATTTTGTGTTTTAGCCTGGATTTGCAGTTTATAGCGATACTACCACCCTTCGATCCTGTTTCCTATCATTTCTTAGTAGTTTATAATCATACAAAGCGCAAGTATTATCACTCACAGCTTCACTAAACCATGTTTCTGTTACGCATAACTCATCAATTTCAGGGCCCTGTAAAACGTAATTAACATAATCCACTTTTTGAATATTAAAACTTCTAGGATTCATACAGCACAGCTGCAAGCCAGCATGTTTTTTACTTACAACGCTCAGTAGAAATTTTAAACAGCTTTTGTCAGCGCTGAAACTCGTATTAATATTAAAAATTTTGAAGTATAAAATCGGCGCAATTAAGCTGGAAGTTCACATTAGCGGTAGAAACATTAATGAGGTTCAAAGAGAAAATAAAAGCAAAGGTATAAGCAGAAACAGGGAACAAAGAGAATAATAAGTCTAAAAACTAAAGTATGATAACATTATGTGCGTGTGTGCATATATTAAGAGTCAAGTTACTTTCTGTCATGTGGCTTGACTGACAAGCGCATCAACGCTCTGTTTGCTGTCCACAAGAATCGCCTCTTTACCGTGATGAACTCTTACATGGACTCTTCCTCGAATGCTAAATGCAGACGATAATACTTTTTGGCGTTTGAGTTGTGTTGCGTGATAAAGTATTTCTCTATTGGCCTTTGTCTAACTTTCGTGCACGTAAACATTTCCTCCACCACACAGGCCAATATCAGACAGAGTTACTGGTCTCTTTTTCAGCTTACAAAAACCCGCTATTGATTTAAATAGCTCATTCCTAGCATGCGGGAAATTGAGTTTAATCAATATTGGTTCTACATTGGCTTGGCACTGGTTTGGTCGCAAACGAAACGACTCACATATACTCGGCATGGCAAAACCAACTGCCCGACACAGCCCCGCAAACAATTCTCTCAAATTGTCGTCTTTGCTTTGCGGTACTCCATTTATTATTATATCCGTTGAAACTGCGGGGCTCTCAAACTGCTCAATCTGTGCGCGTCGACAGCTGACACTTCCAAGCTCTCAATAGCTGTAACTCTATCTTCCACTACACCAGTGGTGGACAGCGTTGGTAGAGCTCCCAATACAAGCGCAATATTTTTGTATCTGTATGTGTGTACTCAGCAAAACAGCTCGCCCATGTGATGCTTACAGCATGAAGTACAAACGTAAACTGACCGGCTGCTAGCGGCGCATAAGTTCGGTAGCTGCGCACACACGACTTGTATGTGAAAGCCGAGTAGCTCCCGGAGACTCCCGTGTGCACCACTACCAGTGTTGCCATAGTTTAATTTTCAAAAAGCACACAAAACTTGGGAAAAAAGCGTTTTACCACACTAAAAGCACCAAATTTTTTTGAATCAAGGGATGCTTTTTTCATAACATAATACCGAAGTACTGCACAATAAAACTGGTATATCTCGAGAAAGAAAAATCGAATCGCAACAAACGAAAATGATGCCCTAATTTGAAATGAGCAAATAATTTGCTGTTTTCATTATAGGGCTATTCGCGATTCAGTGCATAAGAGCTGACAAATTTATGCAATTGCAGAAATATGCCATGGATTGTGAGCGACCTTTATTGACTGTCAAGGCAAAACTTTTTTAAACAGCTGATAGAAATGTCAACCAGAGTTGCAATGCATAGGATTTTTATGCTATGGATTTTGGTATT